GGGGAGGGCTGGGTGGGGGACGAGGCCCCGGTTCCAGCGGCGCACAGTAGGCATGTGGGCGCGGCCAGGGGCGGCGCGCAGGGCCTTCGCAGCTCATGCCCACTCGCAGCATTGCCCCTCCCCACAGACACACCCCGGGACTGTGGTGACGGTGCTCGACCTCTTCGATGGCAGAGAGAGTTTGCGGCCCCTGTGGGAACAGGTGCAAGGATTCCGAGAGGCTGTCGCCCCCATCATGGCACAGGCCCCTCAAGGGGTGCATCTCATCTGCTACTCGCAGGGTAGGTGCCCCCCAAACCTAAGCACTATCTGAAGCTTGATCCTTATCTGAGGGGCACTTCCTAGTGTCCCCTTTTCTGAACCACATTGCTCCAGCCAGGACCCTGGTGCCTGAGCCCTCCTTTTCTGACTTCCCTGAGCACGGGCCTCATCTCTGTGTGTCCTGAGTGGGATGCTCCCTGCACGGCTGCCCCCTTCTTTCCCCATTACCCATGGTTCTTGGACCCAAGAGGTAGTGAGAGGGGCAGTAAAGAGCATCCTCGAGTTACAGTCAGAAGACCCAGAATCTAATCCTGGCTCTGTCACTTATATGATACGGGACCTTCTGCCACAGGGTGTGTCTGTGTTCTCTGGATCTCAGTCTTTATGTACATTGTGGTGGGGGAGAGGCAGAGGGGAGAGACGGTTGGCCTGGCTGCCCCTAAATCCCTGCCCAATGTGGTGGTCTGCCTACAGGGGGCCTGGTGTGCCGGGCACTGCTCTCTGTGATGGATGAGCACAATGTGGATTCTTTCATCTCTCTGTCCTCTCCACAGATGGGACAGTATGGAGGTGAGTGGGTACTCTGGGCTTCATAGGGGGCCCTGAGTTTTGGGGGCACCAAGGCTTGGGGCCACTTGGCACCACTGCTCTCTTGCCAGACACGGACTACTTGAAGTGGCTGTTCCCTACCTCCATGAGGTCTAACCTTTACCGGATCTGCTATAGCCCTTGGGGGCAGGAATTCTCCATATGCAACTACTGGCACGGTGAGTAGGGGTGCTAAACTGGACCTCCATGGAGGGGAACCCTGGAGGGTAGGGCCTGCTGCTTTCCCCTCTACCATAACCAACAGCAATAATAATGGTGATAACTTATATTTATTGAGCACTACTGTGTGAACAGGCACTGTTCAAAATGCTTTATGTGTATCACCTGTTGTCTCAGAAGGTACAGTCTGGTGCAGAGGTCAGCAAACTTTTCCTTTAAAGGGCCAGATAGTAAATATTTTTAGTTTTGCAGGTCATATAGTCTCTGTCACAACCACTCGATTCTGGCATTACTAGTGTGAAAGCAGCAATACACCACACATAAATGAATGTGTCTCTGTTCCAATAAGACTTTATTTACAGAAACAAGCAGCAGACCTAACGCAAATGCCTAAGGTACTTCTTAAGACCATGGATACTGGGTCCAGACTACTTGGGTTTGAAGTCTGACCCTCCTGGGTGACTCTGGATGCTGCTTAACCTTTCTGGGACTCAGTTTTTCTCATCTATAAAATAATAATATAGTACTTACCTTATAGAGTGGTTGTAAGGATTCAATAAATTTATGAATATAATATACTTTGAACAGTACCTGGCTCATAGTAGGTACTAGATAAAGGTGTTTGCTCTCATGTTCACAATTATTATTGTCGCTACATTATATTACTGTTTACCTTGTCTATTACTGTAGCCTCCTGATTGGTCTTCCAGTCTCCAATCTTGCCTCCTCTCCCTGCTTCTCTGACTATCTTTCTAAATGCTGTTTGTACCCAGACCCCCACCATGATGACTTGTACCTCAATGCCAGCAGCTTCCTGGCCCTGATCAATGGGGAAAGAGACCATCCCAATGCCACTGGTGAGACCCTAGGCTTCTACTTGGGTCCCATTTTCTGCTTTTCTGACCCCATCTGTTACCTGGCCTGACCCCTGTGACTGATTCAGGCTCTCTTCTTCTCACCCTGCAGCATGGCGGAAAAACTTCCTTCGTGTGGGCCGCATGGTGCTGATTGGGGGCCCTGATGATGGTGTTATTACCCCCTGGCAGTCCAGGTAACAAGGGACTGTGTGGCCTGAAAATTGGCTAAGGATACTCCCTAATCCCCACCAATCTTCATCTCATGCCTAAAACTGGTCCCACTGTTCAATTAATGCCCCCCCACCTTCCATTTATCCTGTCAGCCAAGACCAAAACCTGGGAGTCATCCCCTAACCCCTTGTATCTAGCCAGTCACTACATCCTGCTGGTTCTACTTCCTCTCTATCCCTACCACCCCTGGTTTTGTAAAAACTTGTAACTTTGAAATAATTATGGATTCATGGGAAGTTGCAAAGATGGTTTAGAGAGGCCCTGTGCATCCTTCACCCAGTTTCCCCAGTGGTTGCATCTTATGTAACTATAGCACGATATCAAAACCAGGAACTTGACATTGGTACGACATGCGTATAGTTCCATGCCATTTTAGTCCATTTCCTATCACCTCTGTTACTTACCTGACTACTGAGATTGCCTCAGACTCACCCCTGCCATCCTATTCCTCTAGAAAAACCAGGTCTCAATGGCACTATGTGCAAGCCTCGGCTCGAGATCTCCATGAGTGATCTGGAGTGGCACCTGACCTCTGTAGTCACTCATTGAGCACTATGTGCCCCGGCACTGTTCTGGGCCTGGGGAATGCAACTGTCAATAAAAGAGAAGTCCCTGCTGTTATGTCACTTACATTCTAGTAGGGGAGACAGATAATATGTGTAAATGTATATGTCAGGTAAAAATAAAATAAGGCAGGGGAAGGACTTTCAGGATGACTGGAGCCTGTTTATTTATTTATTTATTTATTTATTTATTTTTTAGAACATAAATCAATAGTTTTATTATTTTATTATTATTTTTTAAACATATCTTTATTGATTTCAGAGAGAGGGAAGGAAGGGGGGGAGAGAGAGATAGAAACATCAATGATGAGAGTCATTGATCGGCTGCCTAGCCCGAAANTAGTTTTTATTATTTTATTATTATTTTTTAAACATATCTTTATTGATTTCAGAGAGAGGGAAGGAAGGGGGGGAGAGAGAGATAGAAACATCAATGATGAGAGTCATTGATCGGCTGCCTAGCCCGAAAACCGGGCATGTGCCCTGATCAGGAATCGAACCCCAATCTCCTGGATCCTAGGTCGATGCTCAACCGCTGAGCCACGCCTGGCCGGGCTGGAGCTTGTTTTAGATAGTGGCCAGGGAACTCCTCCTGGAAGAGTTGCCCTTTGAGCAGACACTGAAGGAAATGAGGGAAGGAGTTGTGCAACAGTGTGGGGGAAGTAGGGCCAGGGAGAAGGACAGCACCTGCATGGGCCCTGGGGCAGGTATGAGCACAGGGAGCTGGAGAGAGTGGGAGAGGAGGCTGAAAGGTAGCAGGGAGCCGTTATGTCAAGCCTTTGTAAGGCAAAGTAAGGCCCTTGACTTCTTTTTTCTAAAATATACGCAACAAAAAATTTGCCATTTTAATTTTTTTAAAATATGTTTTTATCGATTTCAGAGAGAGGAAGGGAAGGGGAGAGAGAGAGATAGAAACATCAATGGGAATCATCAATCAGCTGCCTCCTGCACACCCCTTACTGGGGATTGAGCCTGCAACCCAGCACTTGACCTGACCAGCAGTCAAACCATGACCTCCAGGTTCATGGGTCAACACTCAGTCACTGAGCCACACCGGCTGGGCAAATTTGCCGTATTTTATGTATGTATTATGTATTTATTTTTAGAGAGAGGAAAGGAGAGAGAGAGAGAAAAACATTGATCCTTTGCCTTGCGTACACACCCGGACCAGGGATTGAACCCGCAATCTGAGTATGTGCCCTGACTGGGAATCGAACCCACCATTTTTCAGTGAATGGGACAATGCTCCAACCAACTGAACCACACCAGCCAGGGCAAAATTGCTATTTTTAAATGTACAGTTCAGTAGCATTAAAGTACATTCACATTACTGTGTAACCATTACCACATTCCATCTCCAGGGCTTTTTTTTTTCTTCTCAAACTGAAACTCCATACCCATTAGACACGAACTCCCCAGGCCTGCCTCCCCCAGCCCCTGGCACCCACCACCCTTGACTTTATTCTGAGTAAAATGGGAAGGCATTGGAGGGTTTTGAGTGAAGGAGTAACATCCTATACTTAGGAGATGGGGTTTATTTATATTTCATTTCGGATCTACAGCAAGCCTATGAAGGTGGTAATAGCTCACAGTTACNAGGAGTAACATCCTATACTTAGGAGATGGGGTTTATTTATATTTCATTTCAGATCTACAGCAAGCCTATGAAGGTGGTAATAGCTCACAGTTACATAGCTCACAGTTACATAGCACAGTTACATAGACCCAAGGCATTGTTCTAAGTACTTTTCAGATAAAGCTCATTTAGCCCTGGCCATTTTGACTTAGTGGTTAAGCGTCAGACTGCGGACTAAAAGGTCTCGGTTTGATTCTGGCCAAGGGACGTACTTGGGCTGTGCGGGAGGCAACCAGTCGATGTGTGTCTCTCTCACATTGATGTTTCTCTCTCTCTCTCTGACTCTTCCTTCCACTCTCTCTAAAAAGCAATGGGAAAAAGTATCCTCGAGTGAGGATTTAAAAAATAAAAAGCTCATTTAATCCTCAAAACAACCTTTTAGGAAATTTGGGTGCAGAGATGAAATGATTTGCTTAAGTTCATAGAATAAGTGAAGTCAGGCTATCTGTTAATCACATGCTTTACTTCCTCTCTCCAAAGGAGGTATTTCTTATATAGGACACAGGGGAGAAGTAACATGCTCAGCTGCACACAGTGGGGAGTGTGTGGCAGAGCTGGAGTGCAAGTCCAGGTCTCTGTGTCCCTGCTGCCCTCCCACGCCTTATGAAACCCAGCTTGTCAACATGGCCTCCAGGCCTCCAACCCAGCTCCCCGCCGACCCAGCTGCGCCTCACCTCTGTGCCTTTGCTCTTGCATCCCATTTGCCTCACAGCCTTCCCTAGTCCAGGGTCATCGCTGGGAAGCTTTTGTTGGTGCTCTAAACTAAGGCAGTGGCTTCTCATCTTTGCTCCTGTAGCCCATTGGACTTACTCTTATTAGCATGTGTTCAGTTATTCACCACCAGCGTCCACTCAGTGCTTGTGCCAGCTATATATTCTTAATTAAAAAACATTTTAAGACCTTTTTATTTCGAAACAATCTCATACTTAAGAAGTTACCAAAGTAGTACAAAGCAATCTTGTATACTCTTCACCTAGTTTTCCCGAGTGTTAACATTTTACCACGTCTACATTAGCATCTGCTCCCTACAGCAAGTGTGTGTGAACCATTTGAAAGTAGGCTGTAGACATAATGTTGTTTTACCCCTAAAACTTTAGCATGTCAGTGTATATTTCCTATAGACAGGGCATTTTTCACATCTCTGCAATACAGTTATCAAAATCAGGAAATTAACATTGAAATGGTGCTCTATAGACCTTACTCAAATTTTTCCAATTGTCTTTTTAGAAAAAGAATATTCCAGTGCAAGATCCAACCCAGGATCATGTGTTGCATTTAGTTTTCTTGTCTTTGTAGTCTCTTTTAATCTGGAATACTTCCCCAGTTTTTGTCCGAGACTGATATTTTGAAGCGTATGGGCCAGCTATTTTGTAGAATGTCCCTTAATTTGGATTGGTTGGCTATTTCCTCACTATTAGATTCAGGTTATACATTTTTGATGGGAATTCAGCGAAGTGATGCTGCATCTTCATTACGTCACCTCATGGGGTACATGATGTCCAGTTAAATATTTTGAGTGTCCTCTCTGCTGCCTGTCTCCCCAACAGGCTGTAAGTTCCTTAAGGACCCTAGCCCACCTTGATTTTCTCCAGCTGTCCTGATAATGCCCCACCCCCTTCTCTTTATAGCTTCTTTGGTTTCTATGATGCAAATGAGACAGTCTTGGAGATGGAGGAGCAACTGGTGAGTTCCTGGGATTTCTTCATGCCCTGTCCCAGCTCAATCTGTAGCCCTCCCTGCTACTGACTCATGAACTGAAGGGTTCACCCTGGTGGGAGGGTGCCTGAGACACCAGCAGGAACTCACTTTGTCTCTCTCTGTGTCTGTCTTCCGTGCCCCTTTATCCACCTCAAAGGTTTATCTTCGGGATTCTTTTGGGTTGAAGACTCTCTTGGCCCGGGGGGCCATAGTGAGGTGTCCAATGGCTGGGATTGCCCACACGGCCTGGCACTCCAACCATACCCTTTATGAGACCTGCATTGAACCTTGGCTCTCCTGAGGACATCCCCAGGGATCCCCTAGGAACTCCCTGGCCCAGAGACCAATTGGTGGCCTTGGAAAGCAGATGTCCAGCTCTGTTGCACCAGTGACCACATCATTTCTTGCACACTGCCCCCACCAATCAGGGCTCCCAGGATCCCCTCCTCTGCTCCGTGAATAACAAATCCTGGTCTCCCCCACCTCATGTCTTCATTTGGGGGTTGCTCCATGTTCTCCCATCCTTTCAAGGCTGAGGTTGGGAAGTGAGAAACCAGGTTTTTAACTTGTGGCTGCTCCTCCATCTCTGGCTGTACAGGAGGGGAACCCAGCCTGCCCACCACAGCAGTCTCCTCCCAGGCCACTCAGGACATTGTTAGCTTCTGTTCCCACTGAACTCCCCCCTGTTGTCAGCCATCCCACCCCCAGGAAGGACTACCCATGAGAGTGGGGTCCTGAGGCTCCCCTATGGGGACAGTTCCATTCTTGAAGTGTCAGTGTTGGGGAATATCTGTGGCCTGCAAGGCCCATCTCAGGTTTGGGGATCCCCCAGTCCCTATGTTCAGTGTTGGGGTACCTCCTGGGAGCCTACTTTCTTTGAGGCCCCAGCCCTTCTTTTAGCTACCCTTGAATGGGTATTACCCCTGTATTTGTGGAAATAAAGTTCCATTTCCTCAGTGTGACTTGGCTCATTTCCAGGTGAGGGGAACCTGGCTCCCAAAAAGGGATGGGAATGGAGGGCCCAAGGCCTGGGTGCCCGGATGCCTGGTCTGGGGTGGGACCCCCTTGGTGTTTCCGCTCTCTCAATGCCCATTCTGTGTGGGTTCCTGATTCTCTGTGGGTTCTTTCCTGCTGAGGACAATTCTTTTCCTGTCCCAGGCTAAGATTGGGGGCCTGAGCCCAGGGCTCCAGTGGTTTGTGCCCCAGCTTCATGGATGGAATGTCCCTGCCACCCCCAGGCTAGCCCAGGGAGCTAAGGGTCAGGGTAAGCATTTGCTGAGCCCCTTTTCAACCTTTGTAGGCCAGAGCTGGGTGAAGGCCTGGACAATGAGCCTCCTCTTCCTGGAAAGAAGGAATTTTGATGGAGACAATAGGGCCCTGTCTACTCTGGCTTAGGGGGCAGTGGCTGACTCAACTGTGCCCGCCCCCCACCGGCCCTAACAAATGTCATCGAGAAATGGGGTCGCTTTTCCTCTTAGTGCCCTGGTTGTCCCCCTGCCTAGCATGACTTCCCCTTTTTTCCTCAACTGATCTTGCCTCTTCTCCCATGACCTGACCCAACTTTGTTCTCTGCCAGCTCTCTCCCTGCCCCCCAGTTCTCCCCCAGTCTGTGTTGGGTTTAGGGGGGAGGCTAGGGCCAAGGGTACTGTAGTGTTACATAGCCAGTAGCCTCTGATTTGGGGGGGTCAAGAAATAAGGGGCCTCAGAAAGTTGGGAAGATACTTCTGTGGGGCCCTTTGCTGGGGTGGGACTTGGACCCCACTGAGGAGACCAAGCTGGAGCTATAGGGGAGGCCTGTGGGAGGGGGCAAGAATGGGAGGACTCTGTGTGGCCCAGCCCCTCCTCTCTCAGCAGCCCAGCCTGCCCACCAGTCTGAGCAACTGCTGCTGAGGCTGGTGGGCCTGAAGTCTCCAGGAGAGAGCGGAAGGCAGGTGGGGACAGAATGTCAATGGGGAAAGGGAGGGTCATTCACAGCCTTTGAGTGTGAGTTGGGGGTGCTGTCTGGGTGAGGGGTGCATGTGATGGAATGGCACGGGTGTGGGAAGGTAGTAGGAATGTGTTTAAGGTGTGGAGTTGCTAGGTGTGTGGGGGGGGTGTGCAAGGAGGGAAGTGGATGCAGTGGTGAATGCGAGGTTAGGACGGTGGGAAGATTAAGGGGGAAGAGGGCGTGTTACAGATCGGAGGGTTAACTCTGTGTGCAGAGGGGAGGGAGGGAGGGTGTCCGGGTGTGAGCCTGGGTGGTGCTGTATGGACCATGGGGAGCTAAAGGAAGGGGGCTGTTAGGTAAACATGCCCACGGGTGTTGGCAATCCTGGTGAGTAGTGCAAGTGTGTACAAATAAATGTCCTGTCACCCTTAGAGGGCACCAGCAGACTGCTTTGGAGGGGCTGGATCTGGAGAAGTTAATAGGGGAGGGAAGGGCCATCAGTAACCTCTTCTTGCTTGCAGCGGGCAGTCTGGAGTCAAGGAGAATCATGGGGTCCAGGGCTGAGCTGTGTACTCTCCTAGGCGTGCTCTCATTCCTCCTCCTACTGATGTCAGGAGAAGGGTCCAAGGGTGGATCCCTCAAAGAGAGGTGACAACATAGGGGGCAGGGGCAGGGTGAGATCTTCAGGAAACTTTCTGGGGTGGGGCAGGGTANAGAAGGGTCCAAGGGTGGATCCCTCAAAGAGAGGTGACAACATAGGGGGCAGGGGCAGGGTGAGATCTTCAGGAAACTTTCCGGGGTGGGGCTTCACAAGTGGCAAAAGAACTTTAGAATGGGGACGAGGCTGTCACCTGAAGGGAGGACTGGGCCTCAGTGAGCCTAGAGGGATCTAGGGCTCCAGGCTCTCCAGGGCCTGGGCCACTCAATGTCTCCCACCTTCTCCCGCATGGGTGCAGTCAGGGGGTCTGCTCCAAGCAGACACTAGTGGTCCCGCTCCATTACAACGAGTCCTACAGCCAACCGGTGTATAAGCCCTACCTGACCCTGTGCTCTGGAAGGCGCATCTGCAGCACCTACAGGTGAGGGACAGGGAGCTTGGATCCCGGGGTCTTCCAAGAGGAACCCCAAGAACCGCGACCAGGACCCATATGTCAGGGTCCAGAGCCCGGTGCTGTGTTCCAGGACCACGTACCGCATGGCGTGGCGGGAGGTGAGAAGGGAGGTGCGGCAGGTGCACGCGGTGTGCTGCCAGGGATGGAAGAAGCGGCATCCAGGGGCGCTCACCTGCGATGAAGGTGAGGCTGGCTCTTCCCGGGCCTCGGGGAGGCGCGCCCGGGGTGGCTCAGTGCGTTCCAAACAGCCCTTCCTGTGCCCGCAGCTGTCTGCGCCAAACCCTGCCTGAACGGAGGCGCCTGTATCCGGCCGGACCGGTGCGAGTGCGCCCCCGGCTGGGGTGGGAAGCACTGTCACGTGGGTGAGTCGGCTCGCCGGCCCCGCGGTGGCGCCAAGCCCTCCTGGCCCTCCCAGGCCTCTGCGCCCGCTCCAGCCCCTCAGCCCCTCCTCTTTCCCGTAACCAGACGTGGATGAGTGTAGGACTGGCGTCACCCTCTGCTCACACCGTTGCCTGAATACTGCGGGCAGCTTCACCTGTGGCTGCCCCCACGGCCTGGTGCTGGGCCCGGACGGGCGCACCTGCGTAGAGGGATCCCCGGAGCCTCCAACTAGTGCCAGCATCCTCAGCGTGGCGGGTGAGTGGCAGGGGTGTGGGCTGGTGGCAGGGCCTGGGCACTGGTCACGCTCTCTCCTTTGTCCCAGTTCGGGAAGCGGAACAGGATGAGGGCGCCCTGAGCCGGGAGATCGGGGAGCTGCGAGAGCGCCTGGAGCAGCTGGAGCAGGCGAGCCTGGGCGCCTGGGGCCAAACCCGCTGGGCTGGGCGCACCCCCTCCCCAACAACCTAAGGCGTCTTTTCCTTGTAGTGGGCTGGGCAGGCTGGGGCCTGGGTCAGAGCCGTGCTGCCCATGCCACCTGAAGACCTGCAGCCCGAACAGGTGGCAGAGCTGTGGGGCCGGGGCGACCGGATAGAGTCTCTGAGCGACCAGGTGCTGCTGCTGGAGGAGAGGCTAGGCGCCTGTGAGTCCTCTTGCCTGTATTTGCTGGACCCCACCCCCAGCTTTTCCTAATTCAGTTTCTCTTTTCCCAAAACCCTTCCCTAACACTCACTCTCCCCATACCTTCCCCAGATAAGCACTTTACCACCCCTTCTTCTGGCACTGCCCCCAACCTGGTGGTTTCACTTACTGTTGGGTGGGAGTATCAGTCTCCCCAGTACTCATACCCACTCCAGGCTGGAGGCAGTCCACAGCCAACAGGTCTGCCTGTCTCCTTGTCATTAACCAGGCTCCTGTGAGGACAATAGCCTGAGCCCAGGCCTCAACGGGCGGCAATGAGGAACCTCTGCAGAGCCCCTGCCCCCTAATTTATACAGAAGCTGGACGCACTAATCCTTTGGGATTCGCCAGCTGGGGAGCTGCAGATAAGGTTATCTGCCACTAAGGAGCAATGTCTCAGTGGCAGCCCCTGAGTCTTCCAGCTGGGGCAGATTGCCTGGGGGTGTGGGAACTGCTTCTTCAACTCAACAAACACAGCTCAAGTATCCAGATCTCGCTCAATCTTTATTCTCAGTTTCTTGCTGTTATCCAGATAATTAATAAAAACCAACCATGAAAAATGGAGTCCCACCCTCTCCTTTTGCTCCCAGCCCCTCCCTGTTGTGGGCACTAGTCTGGGATGGGAGGCAGGGAGGCTAATGCCACAGGGAGGAAATGAAAACTGGCTCAGAGGGGGGAAACCTCAAAGAAAGAGAAATAAATTAAAAGCCCTCCCATCCCCTCCAGCCAGGGTTCAGTGCTCTCCCCCAGCCCCTCAGGGAGCAGTGAGTGCAGCACGTGGCTACCCCTTGCCCCTTGTCTCATTAGAATGGTACAGAAGGGCTGCAGGGGGATGGGTGGGGCCGGGGCACAGGGACAGGGGAAGCAGAAATGTCAAGACCAAACTGGCATCCAGGAGTATGCACAGTCCTGGGCACCTGGGCATGGGCAGGAATGAGACCTCTGAGTGAGAAGAGTCCAGCCTCCACTGACAGGAGGCTCCATGGGAGGGAGGGTGAAGGTGCTGAGGAGTATTCCCAGGAGGAGCCTGGGAGGAGTGTTCCAGGCATCAGCTTCCAGGCACAGCATGAGGAGTCCTCCTCACAATGGGATGAGTCCACGGAATCCATGGACCTGGGGGGGGGATTGTTCCACAGAACGGANGGACCCGGGGGGGGGGATTGTTCCACAGAACGGGTGGGTCCACTGGCCAATGTGGGGTGGAGAGGGAGCGAAGACCACAAAGGAAGAAGGTCCACTGGGGACAGGATGGAGTGCTTCCACCTGTGTGTAGGCTGAGCTACTGGAGATGAGGGGGAGGCAACTGTCCCATAGACTCAATGGCACAGGAGGTGGGTGGGGGTCTGAGTGGAGACTGCACCGAGGCAAGAGAGTCCATGGGGGGAGCTGGGAAGGGGCAGAGACATTCACTTCAGAAGCTGAAGATTCCAAAGAGGAGACTGAGTGGGGAGAGGGGGAACGAGGGGAAACGAGGAAGAGGGCTTGGTCCTGCTTCAGGACCCACTGGGCTAGCAGGTGTGTGGAGGAATGTGGGTTTAGATGGAAGGGGAGCTCAGAGCCGGGCCTCGCCCACTCCTCCAGGCTTCTTCAGATAGTCACCACCACCCCTGCCATCAGTGGAGATTTCCCGGAAAACAGTGAGCATGGAGTGTCGGACTCTGTCAGCCAGAGCTGGGACGTCATCTGGTGTCAGCCCTTCTGTGGGCACTGGGGGCAGCACCCGAACCTGACATCGCCCTGGGAGGGGGGTGAGCACAATCAGGGCCTCTGCCGGCAAGCTGGGCCCAGTTTCTGAGCTCTCCTGCTACTCTCCTCAACCTTTCAGTGCTCTTCCTCCAACCCGGGGCAACTGCCCCTCTGCCTGCTAGATGCCACCTGTTCCTCGAGGCCCTCCTGCACAAAGCCTTCCTCAGACCCCAGTCCAGACATGGCGCCCTTCCAGCCCCCACTGTCTAGGTTTCGTGTTTACTGCTGAGTGTTACAGCTCTGCACACCTTATCTTTCCTGCTAGACAGTCATGGCCTCTCCTGGAGGGACCAACTGTTACCTATCTAGCAAGGTATGGTGGGTGCTTAACACATACTTGCTGGCTGACAATCCTGTGGGCATCTCACAGCTCTGACACTGACTGATCCTGCTCTATAGGAATGTCCCTCCAGCCTCCGCCATGACCTTTCCGGCCCCCCTGCCCCCCGCCCCCAGATTTGCTCAGAGCCCTTACCCGAAGTGAAGCGGCGCTCCTTTTTGCAGTAGAAGTCTTGATAGGAGGACATGACGATGGGAACAATAGGAACCTGGGGAAGGGGAAAGGGCATTAGCCTCTGGCTCCCTTCTGAAGCCCCAGGCCATGCATACACCAGAGAGGAAGGGATGGTGGGGGCTGGGGCTCAGCAGCAGAAGGTGGAGGAGTAATCACCTGGGCCTGCACTGCAAGGTGGAAGGCTCCACGTTTGAAGGGCAGCATGGAGCCATTGTGGTTTCTTGTGCCCTCAGGAAAAACCCAGACTCGCACCTGGAGGGGGAAGAAAGAGGGACGAGGAAGACACACACATATGGAGGGACCGCAAAATGGTTGTGACTTATGAGGCCCCTTGGCCCTGATATCAGTTTATTTACAACTATTCTACTCCATCCCCCCTGCCCCCCACATCCCCAGAGTGACTCACGTCCTGGGTGAGCAGGGTCTGTGCGACCTCAGACATGACACTGATGGCATCCCCAGTGCGCTTCCGGTCGATAAAGATGACTCCTGCGAGCCAGCAGGCCAGCCCAGCAGAGCCAGCCCACAGTAGCTCCCGCTTGGCGATGGGCACACATCGGCCGGGCAGTACCTCCATCATCCCTGAGGCAGAGGTAAGTTGGGGTGAGCATCAGGGTGGTCATGCCCACCTCACCCAGGTCATCACCCACACTTCAGGGGCCTGCATATAAAGGAAGAGTGAGACTGGGGGGAAGGGCCAGGGAAGACCCAGGTGGAGGGAAGGGTGATTAAAAGCCTACCACCCTGCTTATGAGGGAAAGAAGGCCATGTCTGAGCTGAAGGGCAGTTGGGCAACTCTGAGAAGATTCTGGGGAAGGTTCCAGGAGGAAGGGCATGGCTGGGGGACGTGTGTTCCAGGAGGAAGGTCATGGCTGGAGGGGGGTCTCACCAAGCAGGTCGAGGGAGCTTTGGTGGTTGGAGACGACGACATAGGGCTGTGAGGGAGGGAAGTGGTGAGCCCCTCGCACCTCCACTCGGATCCCGTACAGGTATTTGATGTGGAGCAGCATCAGACGCAAGATCCTATGGGGTGTCACGGCAAGCAGTTCCAGGGGGATCCACTGACGTCCACCTGCATGCCTCAGCTCCCCTCTACCTTACCCTCTTCTGGGCATCTTTACAGTCCTCTCCCCTTCCTGTCCCTGGACTCTCTCAGTCTCTCTTACACACCCCATGCCCTCCCCATCCACTGCTCACTTCTGACCCTTAGGTTCCCTCATCGCCCAACATCCCTTGGCCCTCACTTCATGTTCTCGACATTGCGTCCTCGCACGGCACAGACAGGGATGGCAAGCACAGCCAGGAAGAGGATCCAGCCATTGTAGAAGGCCATCTTGAAGAAGTACTTGGCACTGGGGCTGCAGAACCACAGGGTGGGCAGCAGGAAGAGCAGCAGCAGGAAGAGCAGCAGCAGCACCGTCCATGCCCCTGGCCACAGGTCCATTCTGGTCACCTGCAGGGTAGGGGTGAGGGACAGTGGGCCTGATTCCTGGAGGGGGGTGGGGTGGACGAGGTGCAGAAGGCAGGAGACACAGGATGGGGCCAGGGCTCCCATCGAAACCCACTCAGGAAGCCTCTCTAGGATGGGGCCAGTGGGGAGCTTGGGACTGGTCTCCCGCCCCTCTCTCTGAAGGCTCCAGATACCTTCAGATGCACATGAGACAGGAGACACGTACATCCACAAGTCACAGATGCATGATAATAAAAGGACAATAAAATGGAGAGCTAACACTCGTAGCTGGTAAGGGTTTTTTAAGGGTCTTATAAGGGTCTACACCTCTGCTGTCCAATCCAGCAGCCACCAGCCACACATGGCTGCTGAGCACTTGAAATGTGGCCTAGTCTGAATTGAGATGTGCTGGAAATGTAAAATACACATCAGACTGCAAAAACTTTGAATGAAAAACAGAATGTAAAATATCCCATTAATAACCTTTTATATGGATTACATTTTGAAATTATAACTTTTGTGTTCAATAGAGTGCATTAAAATTAATTTCACCCTGTTACTTTTTACCATTTTCAATGTAGCTACCAGACAACTAAAAATGACATATACGGCTTGCATTATATTTGTTAGGGCTGATCTATACATATTATACACTATGTTAAACCACAAAATTTACATTTTATAGGAAACAGGCCCAGAGAGGTTAAGTACCTTACCTGAGGTGATATATGACACCTACAAGGAACTTCCTAGCTTCAACCTAAGCAGCTTGTCTGTGCCCCTAACAACTCAATCCCACTGCTATCTGTATGCGAATTACATAGGTGCACACATAGCAGATACTGTGCAAGTTACAAAATACCCACAGACATTCTCAAAGGTTGACTTACAAGAATAAAGGCTCTGTCACTAAGGCAAACATACACACACAGCTGGACCAGTTCACACACATACACAAATTTATAATCACATCCAGTGACAGATGAAGGACTGGAAATGCATACCTAGAAAAATCCCTTTCCACCTAGGCAGCCTCCCGTTCCAGATAAAGCCACGGACATACTAGGAGTAACTACCTCCATCAATCCTGCCTCCACAGACAGGCAAACGAATCCCACCACTCCTTCCTTCCCTTCCAGCAACGCGGGAGGCAGTTTGGTCAGGCAGGTACAGAGGGTAAGGCCTCACCAAGTGAGAAAAGGGCAGAGAGTAAGAGACATCATATGACCTACCCTGGAAGAGGAAAGAGCTCAGGAGGAAGATGGGCAGGCGCCCAGAACCTGCCTTCTAGGCCCTTCCTTCTTCTACTCTTCTTTCCCCAGCAGTGGGGCAGGGTCACAATTCACAAAACTGGTGTTCAGGCAAATACTATCAAGGCCAAAGACACTCCCTTCCTATACCAGGAAGGGCTGTACTCAAAGGTAAGCCCACTGCCAAGAGCAAAGGTAACAGGCAATAGAGGAAACAGGAGACTGCCAGCTCTAAAATGTAGGCTTTGGAGCCACCCATCCCACTGCCCCTGCAAGTTTGGACCAGTGTTTCTCCTCTGGACTATTTGCAACAGGCTCCTAACTCTTCCCCTTCAATCCTTCTTCCACATGGCAACCAGAAATTTTTCTATAACACAAATCTGGGCATTTCCCTCTCTTGCATAAAGGAAACTTCTTGACAAGTTGACTTCTGCTTACATCTTTGGCCACATGCCCACAAATGCCTTTTACTCCAAACTGATTTACATCAGTTCCTCAGACACACCATGACCTTTCATGCTTCTGTGCCATGAGCATGCTGTTCCTTTTGGCTGAAATGCCCTTCCACCTCTTCACCTGCCTCACTCAGTTCAGTGTCACATTTTGGAGGTCTTTTTGAACTCCACCAGGCCTGACTTTTCATTACACTTTTATCTTAATCACTGGCTCTTAAAGGGTGGAAATACAACTTCTTAGACCTTACCCCAGATCTCCTGGATCAGAAATTCTGTATATTGGCTCCATTAATCTCTACTTTAACAAGCCTTCCAGGTGAGTTTGAGAACCACTGGTTGTAACATAACTGTATATAACTGCTCACTGGCATTTCTGTTTCCCTTTCTAGTCTATAAGCAGCTTGAGGGCAGAGACTCTGCCTTATCCCCAATGCCTAGGACAAGAGGCACAGAAGGCACTCATAAACATTTGCTGAACAGATAGATCATAGGGCTGTATACATACCCGCACAACCATGATTAATGACAGAGGTGACCGTTCCGAGAATGAGTAAGACAGCTACCCTCTTGAGGACTATTAGCTATAATGGAAAGTCACTGAGAAAGCAGTGAACACAGCGAGCCTAATGGTAACCTACTCTGAATATACACATGCAGTACACGCCCACAGTGAAAGCAGGGCAACAAGTCAAGATGGCACACACCATCGTACACACAAGAGAAACATACAGAAGGGGATTAGCATGCCACAGGTAAAGATACTGCTGTCATCAAATACATGCCAACAGTGCATAGTTGGGGACAGATAATGTGTACGGCAGGGCCGACCCAGGGCATACTCTGAACTCCAGACACAGGCTGTACACAGCCACTGGCAAGATAATGTGTGGAAAGAGACACAGGCCAGAGATCAGCAAGGTGAGTCACCTGGGTATGATTCTTTGGGGAGATGGAGGCCCAGTTACCCTCTCTAATACGTAACATTAAGTGACCCTTTCTGGAGCAGAAATATCCAAGGACTTATAAATGCAATGGAGAGCCAAATGGGTTAATGAGCCCATTGTTCCCAAAATATACTGCCAATAAAATTAAGAAATAGTGAAACCATAAGCACACATTTTGGGCATGTCACATCAGTGTATCATGAACCCTGCCTGGGAAAACATATGCAGCAGAGAGACCAACCCGATCACAAAAGGAGTGTGTGCTAATCACGTAAGCATAGGTCCCACACATTGAAGACTGCATATGACAGGACCATGGGCAGAACAAGTGAGCCCCCCAAAATAAGGTATAATTTCTACCTGCTAAAGTACACATGCGTAAAAAAACGTGTAAGAAACATGAAACCAATAATAGATGCAATATGTATATGAAAACTCACACACTTGAACATGTCAAGGCTAGACTTGAGACATGGACTAAGATATGAGAATGGGCAATTCTGATGAAAAAAACACACCATTTCTCCACAGCCATGGACAGCATAGGACAACCTAGCCGCACACAAGCTATTATGTGAAAGGTACACCTATTCAACACAAAACACACAAGGCCCTTGACTTTGAGGGTCTAGCAGTGCTGGAGGCCACTGAAAAACAAGAGGCTCTGTGCCTAGATGGAAGCAGACCTGTCTGAGGGCATTCCTAGGAAGCAAATTCTGCTCGGGGAAGGAGGGCAGTAAACCGCCATCTCCTAGCCACAACCCTCCAAGAGTCAGGCGGGGCCAAAGGGCAAGGAAAGGAACCGGGGAAGGTGCAGGAATTCCCTCTCCAGGATTCCTTGTCCACGCCCTATCCACAACTCAGTCTCCAATTCTCTTGTCTCGTCCATCCTTCCTCCCCCTCAGGCCCCCTTCTCCTTTCCCCAGAAACCCTCTCCCCACTCAGCTCTCATCCTTTCCACAGCAGCCCTCTCCCCAGTCCACGCTCCCAGGCCCAGTCTCTCCCCCACCCTGTCCTCCCTGCCCCTTTCAGCACCTCCCCCCTCCTCCCGTCCCTTTCCTGCCCCACCTCAGTGGGGAGGGGGGGCCTGGGGGGCTGGCCCCCTCCCCAGCCAGGCTGCGGCAGCGGTGGTGGCGGGTGGCTGGCTGTGCCTCGTTCGGGATGTCGGTGCCAAGGGGGCGATAGGACTTGGGGGTATCCTAGCCCCGGCCGATGGAGGGGAGGTGAGAGTGGGAGGCTGGGCCCATAGCGGTCGCAAGGGTGGGGGGTTGTCCCCCCAGCTCCCTC